CACACTCTTTTGATGCTACGGTCCAAAGTTAAAAGTAAACAGCCAAGATCGTAGACTAAGTTCTTTAAGTAATCACTTAGTGGAACTAAACTAATTGGAATCTGAAATACAATTCTAAACCGGAATTGATAAGCGAAGCCTCAAATAAAACGTTAGGTCTTGATGGGGTAAGGACCCAATGAGGCGAATCGGACAGATGATGGGAGTGGTTGTTTCTTTGTTTTTCACTATGTCTTTCTTCGGTATTTTGTTGCTACAATTCTTTTGAATTTTTCTAAACCCTAAACTTGATCTGCATTTTTTTGGAAAAAATTGCGTACTTACGCGGGATGCGTACTTAATGGGAAGGTTATTGTACTACATTTGAAAATGAAACACAGACTTTGATTATGAGAGTCATCTAAATTGATAATTTTTGTTTATATATATCTACACTACAAATACAAAGAGATAAGTTGTCAAAATGATCTTTTACATATTGTTTTCAAGAAACATACTAGGTAACACAACTCAATTTGTACTTAAAAAACATACACAATGTTAACGTGTTGTTAATTATCAACTTACTTTTACCTACTAAGCACACATTGTTCACATAGTAATTATAGATTATCGCTACAAGTTAACTTTTATCTTAGATTTAAATAATCTATATTTGATAAAAAATGATTGCATTAATTTCTATTTTTAAGAATTCTTATTGTCAGATTTCAAAATTTTGTCTTCTTTTAATTAGAACTTTGCATTAACAGAGTATGCATCATATGTGAATAATCTTAAGATACACCAAACTTTATATATCATTAGATTTCCATTACTTCAGTGTATTATATCAATTTTTTTCAAATTTTTTACTTTATGTAATGATTATAAATTTTTTAATCATTAAGAAAAAAATATTTTTTGTGATTGGATAAATAGATAATTTTTATATTTTTGAAATTATTTTTTATCAAAATATAAAACATTGTTGAACTGTCAAACATATTTGATAATTGTTTTATGATTATGGATTTGTGGATACACTTTTAACTTTATTTGATACAAAATTATGTGAATTACTAGTTTGATTATGTACAACAAAAAAATGATGTTTTAGATTCATCTACTAAATCAAACATCAAACTATCTACAAATAAAATAAACACTTGTTTGTAACCTTTTATATCTTTTAATGATCAAAGCTTATCATAAAATGCAAAAAACATGTTATATAGAATAAAAAACATAAACTATTATTGAGAATTGTGCATTTTATCATATATATTTAAAAATTCACTTATAAAATTTAATATGATTTGAAATTTCAAACTATGATCTTCATATATACATGTACATTAATTTAAATATTATTTTTAACTTTGTTACATTAGTCCTTAGTCTCAAAAGTCTAGTAGTCTTCATAAATTGTATAAATATGTTGGATCACTAAGAATAAACTGAACAATTGTAACTTTATATCTTTGAATCAACCTTGAATAAATAGTGTGTTTTTTTACTTGCAACAAAATTGAGTACATCAATTGTAAAAATTGTTGGTATCTTACATCTGACATAAAAATTGTGTGCCTATTGTAAATTTTATATTCTGAATAAATATTGAATGAGCTGAAAATTGATAAAAGCTTACATAAAATCATTTTGAACAATGAAAAGATAAAAAATGAATTGGATAAAAAAATTTTCTAATTTATTATTAAAATATATACAAAATTAAAAAATCACAATGTAGGTCATTATATCATAAAATTGAAATTCTTGTAAAAAAAATGCAAGAAATTTTTTTATTAAAAAAAGCATCAAAATAATAATTTTAAATTTTCTGAACTTATTTACTAATTTACATTTTTTATAAAATTGTAGTTTTATTTATAAAAAGCACAAACCAAAATTTTTAAGTTCATAACTTCTTGGTCATGTTAGTTTGATTATTTGTTAAGTTTGATAAATTAATGATTTTTACATGGGATTTTGATTACATATAAAATTTTAATGATATTTATATGCAATATAAAAAATTTCTAATCTTATTAATTTTTTAAAAAATTTACGACTTAAGATTTGAAAAAATAATAATTTATCAATTGAAAAATAAAGGTTACATGTTTATAAGATTTTTCCAAATATTTTAGATTGCAAATTTTAATTAAAAATTATTAAAATTATCAATAAGATTACATAATTTTGAAATTCTAGATCATAAATTGTATTCATAAAATTTTATAATTTCTAAAATCAAAAGATTGTAAATCATTTCAACTTTCAATTATATATATACTAAATCAAATCTATGTATTGAATCAACTATATCTTGAGACATTGACAAAAGTATAACAAACTTAGACTTAAATTTTTTTTTACAAAAGTGAATTCTTCATCTATAAATTTACAGATTCATGAGATTTAAAATGATATTGACAATATTTATGAAAACATATTCTACATATAGAACTTGAGAACATGTTAATAGTTGATTTTTTAAAATTATCACTTGATAACAATGACAAATAATATAAAATACAACAATTATATTATCTTGTGTCATATATTCAAGTGGATTTTAGAATTTTAATTATAAATCTATTGCGTCTAAGATTTCATTTCATAGTTTTCAATGATTTTTAATCATTCAAATAATATATAAAGTTGAAATATTGATATATTATTACATTAAACGTGATAAAAAAATTTTGAATGCAAATAATAATAATTTTTTGCAAATATCGCATGTGTAAAAAGTATGAATTGACTACAAATTACAATGTGATAATATTATGCGATCTTTGATGTGTATTAATATTTTTATATTAATAGATACATCTCATATATTCAAAAAACAGTGCAAAAACATACATTTTCATGCACATTTTACATGTTAAAGGTCTCTAAATTTTTCTATATTTATGAAGAATATTAAATTATTTTTCTTGATACTTGTTTGGTACTATTTTATTGATTTTTTTAAAAAATTATTGGAAGATTTATTTCATTTTTTCACATGAAAATTATGGCAAATTGTCACACAATAATTCAATCGTGATTATGATATTGAAATATTCTTGGCGTATTGTGTAATATACATTAGGAATATATTTTAAAGGATTTTTTACATGAAAGATAACTGGTTTGTTTTATCACAATTATATTAGTACAATATATCATAACATGTGCAACAATTTGATGTTAGTATTTCATAATATTTATTCAAGTTTTTATATTAATATTTTGAAAGAGCATAATATCAATTTGATATGAAAAAGGGTAATTGTTTTTTTATTAAAGGAAAAATAATATATAGTATATTAAACTAACAATGATATCGATATGTTATGGCTAAAAATTACATTTATATCTATTCATTTGCTGAAGGTATTTTTGAAAATAGTATACATATCTTATGTAATATTTTCCATAAAAAAATTTGAATATAAAATTTTGATAAAAATAATAATTATTTAAATAAAATTCATTGTATTCAGTTGTAACATTTGTATTAAAAAAATTTGAATGATTAAACTACAAAACTACAAAGATATATTGTCATATAATTTTGAAAGATATGTTCTGAATTCACTTTATAATAGCATGTAAGCTATCATGTAATATAGATATACATAAATGTACTTAGCGCTAACTTACGTTTAGACTAACTCTGAAACTTACCAAACTATTATTTATTATTCTTCCTATACACTTTTTAGTTTTTGTCCTCTTTGGTAAACTATTTGAGTAAACATGATTGGTTGAAAGATAAAAATCTAATGAAAATTATCATTCAATTTTCGATGGATTTTTTTCTATGATTATCCTAGAAAAAAAAACCATTGAAAGGTTGTAGTTTGTCAAGTTTGTAAAAAATGTTGATCATTCATGGTTAAAAAAGTAAACGAGTATAAAATTTAATCTCCAGTCATTACATAATTATGTTTTAAAAAACCGACTTAATCGTAAAAATCTTGAATTCAAAGAAGTCCGAAATATAATCACAGACTTTCTTTTAGGATTGTTATAACTCGATCGCAGATAAGAATGACAAAAGTTGAGACTATGGTTCTGTGAGCTCTCCACGGATACTGCTCGCTAAGCGGACATTATTAAATAGTCTGGAAACTGGAAACATCCCAACAGTCTGGAAAAATAAATGCTAGTGTCATACAATGAGGATCATTCTTCTACTAGTGCACATATAATACAGACATGAATCTTGGTGATCATACTTAAAGCAATCAACGTTAATTAATCATTGTTAGTGAATAAAACAAATTCTTTTTCCACGGGGGAGTAGGAACAACTTCAAGCGATTATTTGTTAGTGACTAAATATGACTAACACTTCATGCTATATTCAATTATTGCAGAAGATTGAACGAAACTGAACGTCTAAGTTACTATTACTAACCATTGAAACTCATACACTGTCCTCCTCTGTGCATTGATACAAATCCTCTTCGACCTGCATTGAAAAAATGTCTTAATCTAATAATAAATCAGGTCATTGTAACAATTTCTAATCAAATTTTATATTCCTTGCAGATAATGGGCAATTCAGTTTCATCGTCAGCGACGAGTAACCAAAGTGGATCGCGCACGAATTTGCTTATGATCTGATCGTACGTTGTCTGGTTGTGGGTCATCCCGCTTGCGGCAGAAGAAACATGATCACCCCAAAAAAATTAAATTGCAAAAACTCCTCAAGAAGGGAACATTTACACTCTACAAAGCAAAACAATGTGTATTTCTATAAAACCCGAAATGGAAACATGAAATTTAAATGAAGGAATCTATAAATGCTGGCCGAACTGCCAACATGGATGGCATCGTCAAGCATGGAAAACGTCCAGAAAGCGTTTGCGGTCTTCAACATTTTCCGCGGCCTCTGCTAAATTAAGCCCCAAAAAAGCAATAGCAGGCATGTGCCCGCCACGAATAAGGAGCCAAACTGTGACGGGGTGACCTGAAAGTTAGGCGGACCCCGGACATGTGGCTTCGTTCCATTCATTCCACAGGGCCGCGAGAAGGCCCAAGCAAACGGCAGGCCCATTCGCATGGGCCGATGATACGATGCCGACTCTGGTTTTTGGGAAAACCACGAATCTTCCTCCTCCTCCTCTTCGTCCGACTACTACAATAGCACATTCGAGGGAGATGGGGAAAGGCCACCACTGGCTTGCTCGCATTCCATCCCTCGCGTCTGCTGCCCCCGCCCCTGCCCCTGCCCCTGGCCGCTGCCCTGAAGGCCACGCTCCCCCTCCCCTCCGCGCTGCCCGTCCTTGGACGCTCCCCTTCGCTCTTCTCGATTCCAGCGCTCCCCCCTCCTCCCTCCCTCCCTCGCTTCGTAACCCTGTTGATTCGACCTCGGCCTCCGCTCTCGATTCAGCGGACCCCGACCTCTCTTCTTCTTTGGAGTTTCTGACAGAGCGAGAGAGCGAGGGAGCGAGAGGAGGGTCGAGGAATCTGTTCGCGTCTGCCTCGTCGTCGTTGCCGGGAGTGTAGAGAAAGCAGAGGAGGACGAGGAGTCGCAGCGTCGTCGTTGTCCTCCGCGAATTGGAGGAGGGGAGGGGAGGGGAGGGGAAGAGAGGGGAGGGGAGGAATTCGCGAGAGGACGACGGATTGTTGTTGTTGTGAGGAGGTCGTGGTTGCAGGGGAGGAGAGGGTTGGAGGAGAATTTGATGTGAGGAGGTGAGTGGAAGCGATGTCGTGGTTTGCGAGATCGTTTTCCTTGAATGAGAGGACAACGAGGAGCAAGGAAGAGCGGGCGACGGAGGTAGACGATGATGGAGATGATGAAGAGGAGGAGGAGGAGGAAGACGAATCAGCAGGGTTGGATTTAGCGTCCATTGCATCGGCCACGGGGAAAGGTGTGAAGGAGGATTTGTCACAGCTAACGAAGTCCTTCACGCGACAGCTTTGGGGAGTGGCTTCGTTTCTGGCACCTCCCCCGCCTGACCGATCATCGTCGTCATCATCATCGCCCTCGGCGGAAGCTGCTTCACAGGAACATTTGCTGCGGAGCTCGTCCAAGGATGACACCACCACCAGTAGCAGTGGAGGAGAAGGAGTTGGGGTTAAGGATAGCCAAGGAAGGCTTGTTCAATCTGAGGCCGATTCGACCGCAGGGGGAAGGGCCACAGGCATCGCATTGCCCGGCGAAAGCGATTTGCGAGCAACGTCTTCTTCTCCTCGGAAACTCTTGGATGAGGGTTCTGCACCTACCACTCCCAGGGGTGGACCGAGACTGACGGGTCTTCGCAGCGACTTTGCGGAATTGAGAGGAACTGTGGCGACAGGGTTCTCCCGCATTTCTTCCTCTGTCATTCGCGTCGTTGCGGGTGATGATAGTGGAGACGACGAGGAGGATGAGCGTTTCTTAACTCGTTCTAAGTCGGACAATGTTCAAACGCCCCGCTTCTCTTCAGAAGTTGTTGTTGATCAGACGTCGAAATCATCAACTCGTGGTTTTGATTCGTTCCTGAAACCTTTGTTAGGTAATATGCTTGTGAGAGATGGGAGTTATGAGGGAGATGGCACTTCTGACGATGAAGACGAGGGGTTGAACACAAGGAAAGTCAAGCAAGATGTGAACCTGAAATCAAGGGGAACTGATTCTTTGCCCTCGGCCTTTGCTAGCGGGATCGATGGAATTTCAAAGTTTCTACTACAAATAGTTCAGGATGAGGACTACGACGAGAAGGAAGATGAATCCGATGAGCGTTTGGATGCAGTTGGTTTGACCGAAGCTGTGGTAACATTCGCCAGGAACATCGCAATGCATCCAGAAACATGGTTGGATTTTCCACTACCGGAGGATGAGAATGACGATGGTATGAATTTTTCGTCACTTGCCCTTACAATGATCCGGCTTGCCTCATATCGAAATTTCCTTTTTGAATTTTCATTTATCTGCCCATTAGGGTTGCGTAGTCAAACATAGTCTTTACCGCCTGTTTTTATTGATATAAAGATTCGTGGGATTTATCTTAGAATATCGCACAAGAACCTAAGGCCAATATGAGACTGTGCCTTACTTCACTTTCACAAGATGAAAGTAGGGCCGTGTAATAAATAACTTTAGATGTACTCTTTTCAAATTATGGATCTTCATCCAGGCTACCAAAGTAGATCTTTATGCGTCGAAAGGAGGAACGTTGGTGACAGGTAAAGTTTAACATGTGTAATCCAACATACAATGACAGATGACCTTGATGTACTCATGTATTGAAAACAATGCCATGAGAGCCCTATCAAGTATTTGGTCTAGCACATCTTAAAGACCCATATGTTGGCAAGATGTCAATGTTGAGGGTCCATTACCATTTGGAGTCTGATCAGTCATAAGTTATGGGTTATCTGATCATTACGGACTCTATTGACCCCTCACTCTTGTGATTCATTGCCTAAAGAAAATTAGCTTCAATGGTGATGTTTATTATCAACGTGTGTATGGTATATGATACACGACCGTGTTGATGATTTAAATTTTTTAATATTTTCACGAATGATTTATACAACACGGGGATGTATTGCAATCAGTTTCTTAGGGCACGTGCATCATGCAGAGTGTTTCCTTACAATCGAGACGAAGGTTCTAAGCAGATCTTGTTATGAAAACTATCCAGACGAAGGTTCTAAGCTTAGCCTCATGGGTTGTATGCAGATTTTGTTATGAACAATATCCAGAAAGAACATTCTCATGCCTTGGAGGTCGCTGCTCCTGGTCTGAAAGCTTTGAGAATTGAGCTTTGTCCTAACTATATGTCCGAAGGGCGCTTTTGGTTGAACTACTTTGTGCTCTTGCACTCCAGGCTGAGTCCTGAAGAAGCACATTTACTCTCTACATCGCAGGTATTGTAAATGGCATGTAACACTTCATCCTTTCCTTTTCATTTGATGGTATAATAAGCTGATGTGCACCAGGGTTTGTATTCTGAAGCGAGGATTTCAGATGAAATGCGCATGTTGTATGAATGAGTGCAACACGTGCGCACAAGGTCTGCATCGCGATAGGACGACCTTTCAGGCTGTAACTTTTGGAAGCTTCCTTCCACCCAAGTCCTCTATGTTCCAAGGCTCTTATTGTTTAGAAGACGGATGCGTTGAATTTAGGGTTAGGTTTAACCTGGACTCATTATTCCCGCTATTTTGATTCGTGAAATAATCTAGACAGTCGATATATTGAACGCATGGCTCTCCCCTCTTACTTCTTGTAGAGTTAAATCTTGTGAGTTGGATTGAAATATGGTAACTGGTAAATGGTAAATGGTAATAGATCAAGCCCGGGGGACCTAAAGGGTCAAAAGGCTGAAATATAAATATATGAAGGATTCAATAGAATCTTCACGATGGATTCTCAAAGCTGTTTGAGTTTATCTAACGTCAATACAGGGTAATATTGTTTGTTGCTGCAAAAGCGAATGGGGGAATATTCGCTGTCATCCTTAATAGTGTAATGCAAAGTCACAAGTAAAAGTCTACCAATGTAGTCTGAGATACGGTCTCTGGACTAAAATATTAACCTATGTTTGATGGCCGTACAGTTCGTACAGTAGATCAATGAATTTTCTTAAATGTAACTTTTAAGCTCTTTTTAATACTTCCATAGCCTTCATACACATGAGAATTTCGAAAGTAAGAGTATTAAGTTTGAGGTACATGGAAGAATATACGTGTCAGATACACAACAACAACAATAACGAGGCATTGACAAGCAGTTGTATAACCCGGTATTGCTTAGGAACACCTTATTTACACATGAAATCATCGAGTTGCTACTTTTAAATCTGGTGAACTAAATGAAGGTTTTGATTGAATAGTTTCATGTCCCGACTTCTCCTGGAACCCTTTTGTAGCTCGAGGTAGGCGTTACCTTCACTTCAAGAATATAAATGCGAGTAGAAGGCTTGATATGTAGTAAATGAGTGTTAAAACCTTACGTGTGTTGGGTCCACTTAAGTACAGAAGGTTGATTGGAACTAGGAAAATGGTCTATTGTGGTTATGGGTGGATGTTTGTTGTTAAGTCAGATTTTGTACTCCAAATTTTTGCTTCCTGAACGGTTTTGTAGAGTTGTTTACCAAGTCAAATTTTTTTTGAAGGAAGCTTCAGTGGATCAACTTGTTGTGGCTATGTGTCATTTCCTTGTTGAGCACGTTAATATTAGTCACAGCGAGGGTTTTGCTTTCAATTATTAAATAATGTTCGTCGAAGAGTAGGTTCCATCTGTTTCTGAATGAGTTTTAGATTGAATTGTCTTGGGGTCATACTTCTGGGATATTTTGACCGTTTGTCGCTAGTTTCCTGCATCTTTTTACTTTTTTCACTGTCGCTAGTGAATACAATTTACAGTCCGTATGTGCGAGCTAACCACAGATTTCTCCAGATTCCGTCTCTATTGTTGTGGTCATTTCGGCTGAGTCCTTAGTTTCACCTCACTGATAAGCCACAGTGCAGCACATAAGTTTATTTCGGTGGCATTTACCCGTAACAGCCCCATTCTGCACGTTGGTTTTGAGGAGGTTTGAAGTTTGGGTTTGTAGTGGCTATGGGAACCAAAGCATTGTGCACATGTTTTTCTTTGGACCAATCCTCTCATGGGTGGCCAATCGTCTCACGTCGTCTATGATATGAATTCCCTTTCCTTCCATCTACCTCTTTTCGTAACATTTACAGACTGTATCTGTAACGACATTTGTTTTGATTGCTCAGCTTTTTCGTGTTGAAGGGCTATGCATTACGTTTTTTGCAACTAGCTGAATGAAATTTATTCGTGAATCAGTAAGACGAGTGTGCGGGATTCTAGTTTTTCATCTGAGATTTTTGGGTTACATTCTTATTGTTCTCAGAAATTCAGCTCGTTTATTCAATGTAGAACTGATTTTTTGACACAATGCTATCTATGTTATGTGTTGACATTAGTCAGCAAGAGTGCCTCATCTCGATTTGGTAGAATACGTGTAATCAAATATGTCGGCGTACATTACAGTGTATCATGTCGTCGTTTGTGATCAAAGCAGTGTACACTCAGCATATTTTTTCATGTCGATACGCTGCCAGAGTTGTTACTTCAGGACTTCATATAGGGTCGAAAAGACAAGCAGCATATCTTTAGCAGATTGGGCCTGTCTGCCTCTGTGTGCCCATAAATAGAATCTAACCACCTCTCCGATCGTTTTACAGATATCCAGACACAGATCTTTGTTTAAAGTAGGTCTAAAAGATTGAGAAACATGCGACTTAAGAGATTCTATGAATTTTCTGGAGTAGTTGAAGTAGATGCGCTTGTTTTGTCATGTGGAGTATTGATATTATGCTGGGTACTGAGAAGTCACAGAATTTTATATCAATATATCGGGATTACTTAAATGTCACAACAGAGAATTTTTATATTGGGAGTAAGGCTAGGATGAGCAGTATCCACAATATTGAGTCAACTGAAGTGGGTTTATTTTGACACTTAATTAGTGATTCATTTGAACGCCTGGATTGACATGTGCATGCTTCTCTTTGATATTTAACTTCCACGGAGTTCATGCGACATGAGTTAGAGAATTCTACATGAGCTCCCTATTTCCACTGCTGTTAACTACGTCTTGATGATGCACTAAAGGTTTACTCGCTATCCTTTTGTTGGTTCTCATTGACAAGCAATACGTAGCGGTTTTGGAGATCCCCCTTCATTTGAAAGCTCCTCATTTCTTCGATGGCCTCATTTTAATTGTTAAGTTAAACTGGGTGGAAGAAAATACTCGTTGTGCTGGTGAAAGGTATCAAAGGTGTGCTGGTGAAAGGTATCAAAGGTGAAGCGGTATAAGGTGTCTGTATGCTAGGTTGATGCATTCCGACAAGATTAGGAAGACATGCAATTCTTTCCGCAACGAGTCATTAAGCTAAACTAGCGTCACGTCGTAGCCTAAGATATTCAGCTACTTAAGCAATGCCTTCCAAGCTCTAGTTTGAGGTAACTCTCCCAGTTATTTCAATATCTGTTATATCTCACCTCTTATTATCATGAACCTGGGACTTTTAAGTCTCAACTAGAAGTTTGTGGAAAATGATGATTGGAATCTTCACTGATGGTGAACGTGGAAAATTCACATCCAGCACATGTTTGTGGATCTGAAAACAAGTTAACTATTTGTGGAGATAATTCTTAGCTGTGAAGTAATTGTTGTTGTTTCCTTGATGCAGGTGTTGAGCGCCCGAGCATCACTGCTTCGAGAACTAGAAAAGAGGGGTGCCCAAAGTGGCGATCTGGACGGGAGCAAAGATCATGACCGAGCTCGAAATTTATTGCAGGGAGAGATTGACCTCGACACACGCGAAGCCCAGGTTTCGGATGTTAAGAAAGAGGAAGTCGGAAAACTTTCCGTTGAGCCCATCAAGCAGCCCGTGGTACCGGAGAAGGTTCTGCCTGAGGCACCAGTTTCTGTGCCTTCATCTTTGCAAGAGGAGAGATCCGTTATAAAAAACCGGAGTGAATCAGATGTCGTAATCAGGCCTGCGATAGCAGCTGAAGACAAGACAGTAGCAGCGGAGAGCAACACAAAACCAGGCGTTAAAAGATTTCCGGCTCTGATCCTGGAGGATGATGAGGCGGAGGTGGACGAGTGGCTCGATGACGAGCCATCTACCAAGCAGCATGTGGTGGCTGGTGGTCAGAGTCAATCGGATTTGGGCAACATGGACGAGGATGTATCATTTAGCGATTTCGAAGATGATGACCCCTCACAGAAGGTTGCTGGCGTAACTGAGTTAAGCACATCTCTTAACCGCGAAGTCGTTAACAGCACAACCACTCTCGAGGCCAAAAGAATTGTCATTTCCTCAGTAAAAGAAGAGAAAGGAGATGGATCACAAGCAAAGAGCTCAGACAGAGGAGACTCAGACGATTGGCTGACGGTTGATCAGGAGGATGTTGTCTCAACATCTTCGTCTCCATGAACTCCCAAGATTGACCCTCCATTATTTAAGAAATAATGGCTGACCTTCCGAGGGCAGCCAAGTATTCGTTTCTCGCTAACACCTTGCCAGCATGTACTTTGTATAAGCTATGCACAAAGCTGGGAGGTAAAAATAGGCAGTCATTGTAAATACAGTGGGGTTCTGATTCCCCGCGACCTCAAGTACAGGCCTTCCGATGACATAGATATGCTGGCTGAGCTTGGAGATAGTGTAATTAAAGTTGGATCGCATGTACCTCAACATTCATAGCGGATGGTAAGTACGCAGGTGGATATCGTACATGTTTTGTAATAATATTTAGATTTGAGCTGACCCTTGCGTTAAAACAGAGATCGAGTGTTTAGCTCAAGGCCGATCTCTTAGCACCTTACAGACAAGCCTTATCCATCGAGATGAGCGTTTGGCTTGACTCACCGTTTCCCTGCCTTGGAGGTTGCAAGTCGATCATAGCTGCTGCTCCCTCTGTTTGGTATCAATTGATTGAAAACGAGAGAACTTTTCAAATCGAAGTGTGCTTTTTCTGGAATTGGAGTCTATCAAATTGTGTAGTTCGATGCGGAGCACTTCAGATCTTATATTTTGTCCACCCTCTCTCTTTGTGTCGAATGGGCGAAATCGAGCAGCAAGTAGTCTGCCCGCCATCTTGAAAGAATTTTTGCTGTTTCTACTGTTCCTTATCCTTAAGCTTTTTTTTAATCAAGAATTTCATAACATTTTGTTGATTTGGAAATCCGAATACTTTGGTGGCAACTTCTCGTTGACACCTGTAAGAGAAAGCAGGAAGCAGGAAGAAAAACACAGCAACTTACTGTCGAGGCAATCCGAATTCATCTCAATAGTCAGACCGAGCTTATCTTTGCAACACCTGTACCTTGTTTTACCATTCCATTTCCAAAAAATTGTTACGAGATGACGAATGCTGAAGCCGCAGAATATCCTTGCAGATGTGCCACGCACGGGGAAGTGTACCCAGTACTCAGATCTGATTGTGACGCTGCATTGCCCAATTTGAGGCCATCACGCTGCCCCAAAACTTTGTAGGTCTGAAAGTCCATTTCTTGCTGTCTACTTCCAAACACTATGCGTCTGCTATTGTGGAGTGGTTGTCTGAATCCAGTCCTCTTCTTCTACTGCAACTCGAGAGGTCGAGTAGATCTTCCTCTACTGGAGTACTACTACCACTACTAGCACCAAGACTATTAGCGCTTGCCCGAGGATTCCGTGTCCGTTCGTTTCAACGACTTTGAAGGTTGTCGGTCGCATGGACACGACACGACGACAGCATTCAAAATCGAGAACATAGCGAATTTGTTCTAAGTGCTGTTGGATATTCCCGCGCTGTTGCGTGCGTTCCAGTTCGAAAATTAGCTGCCCTGTAGTGTTTCTTCCAAGCTGCCAGATTGACTTTTCAGCAGCACTTGCTTCCCTCCCTCTGCTCATCTCTTGCTGTGGTTCCTTTCTTTTCAACGACGTGTGAATCTAGTTCCCCAAGTCAGTTAGTTAGTTACCGAGTCTGTATGTGCAAGTGTGTAACTCACATATGCTCAAAAGTTGCTTTGTTACTTCTCTCATCTCTTCTACTCGTCCTGCGTGCCAACTTACTCCTTCACAAATTTCAAAAAGTTCAAGTTACGTCGCAGTAGTGTCCAAGAGTGCGAGCTACGGTTTCAATCGTTTGTCTGACCAGTTCCTCCATCCCAAATCTTTGGCGATTTCCTTCCTTCGAATCCGACACGGAAATGCCACAGGAGGACGACACTGCCAGGATTTCAAGGTATGTACGCACGTATAGTATGCATGTCTGCTGCTGCTGTTTGTGCCTGCATCGAGCTGTTGCGCAACCCAAACCTCACGAAATTACGCATCCGACAGTTATTCCCTGGGTGTGGTTTTACTGTTTGAGATCTTGGACGTCTTCAAACTTCGATTTACTCTTGAATCTCAACACCTATACTCCCTCCCTGTCACCTGCTGCTACCTCTCGTTCCAGCTCCTGCTACGCTACATGTACTGTACTAGGATATCCAGATCAATCCACTGCCTTGACCATCACCTCGTGCTGCACATCACCATCATGATCCATCCAACTCATGCGCTACCAAACAACATGAACCAGGGCAAAGACATATTCTGATCGCAGCTCAATCTCGCAGGAATCTCGAAGGGAATACATGTTCTATGCAGTCAAAGACTCGAAGGATTCTTTTTACGTGAATCTGACTCCAGAGGTGGGAATGTCATCATCACAGTTGGGCTCGCTGGCTACAGACGAGCCTAGTTTAGGCCAGATTAACACTCTGGCAAAGAGACACAGACAAATGTCGTCATTAGTCTTTTCAATCGAAGCGTTGTTGGTGGACTGGGTTGGTATGTTGTTCCTCGGTTTCCCGTTTTGACCTCGGTCAAACGGTCACGGACAGCCTCTCACCATGTTAAGAGGTCCTGTGAGTGAATCAGAGAAAGAGAGAGAGAGATAGAGAGTGTGTGTATGTGTGGTGAAAATGCTGCTGTTGTCCTATTGGAGCTTTGATTCTTTCTCAATATTTTGTACTAAGCATCAGCTTTATATTTCACTTCCTTGACCGAGGTTATACAGGAATTCTCTACTTAAACAGATGTTTACATTGATAATCGACAGATGTACCATTGATGATTAAACCAAGTACAACATGATTCATGATTGAGTAACTTGGAGAAGTACCGAAGGACTGAAAATCGTCTTGACATGTTAATAATTTCCTACATATTTGAAGGATACCCGAGTGATATAGTGAAAAGGATGGGAATACCCCTTAAGTGTCACATGGATGAAACGAAAGGGGGTAGGTAGGAAGGGGCTAGTGTCTAACTAATATCATCACAATGCAAAAAATATTATATTGCTGCCGAATGATGGAACTATATAATAAATACTAGTAAAGTTAATCTATAATATGTGAACAAGCATAATTTAAAAGCAATAATGTTCGATGAATTCTTTAGAGTACATTGTCTAAAGCTAAAGCATGAAGCTCTGCGTAATGAATTGTGTACATATAATCACACATTAATAACTCAAGTAAAGAAAATGATACCCAAGAAACATTTCAATATAAACTCTCATATATTTTTCACACATTCATCAAGGTATATGGCTCCACAGGATTCCAGACCTAGAATTACAAAGAACTTATATTCTGAAAAGATTTATATTTGAGACCTTCGTCGTTCGATCTTCACACCTCGCTTGTATAGCAATATGGAATATCAACTTTTATGAAATCAATTCATACGTAGGACTTCCGACCACAATTTGAAAAACATTAGACTAGTCATCTGTAATCAAGTATATGTTTCACCCAATGTAAGCTGATTTCCACCATGCTAGGTATCCAGATTTTAATACCATAATTTATTCACTCTCATTGCTTGTATATATGTACTATACATGCCACTTGCATTGATATATTCATAGGTCACTTCTTTTAGTCCAAAATCTTAGTGAAAAGCTGAAAAAGTAGTGATTTGCCATCTTTGTATATTTTCACCTTTTTAATTTAAAGCTGTTATATCTATTGAAGTCGTAGGAATGTCATATCCACACAACAATAGTGGTTCTCTCGTTTCTTATGAACAGGTAAGATGTGAGGGATGTGAGAGCTGCTTTCAACTTTCCAAGGGTCGGATATGGGGGATCAGCAAGTGACCTTAACAAGTTAAAAACTATTCAAAACAGTTCTAATAATTGGAATCCAAGGAGTGCAGCAAAAATGATAGAATACCCAATCAAGTCCTACGTGGATGAAACTAAAGGGGTATAATGTACTAATGCTCCAAATTATGTAGGCCAAAAAGTCCAGGTTAAAATGGAGCATTTGAAGAAACAGTTCTAATTGCTTTTGCTATGTACTCGTAATGGATTGGAGTGATGTATTTGTTTAATCCACCGAGCAATTAGAGCTCGTTTAGTGGCCTAATCACCTCGCACTGGTCAGTTCTTTAGTTTGAGTCTACCGTGGACACGCCTCCGGCAGCCCCTGGTATTTGATGCTTCTCAGAACCCTTCTGCAATGAATGCAAGAGCATGTATTGCTGGTTAGAGCCTCTGTTTCAAAGCTGGAAAATGCTTTAAAACATCGAGTCGACGTCGAGAAAACCATTCTTCAGACGCGAACGAGAGATTCCAGTTCTCTTGGTTGTACACTTGCTTGGTGTGTCTCAGATTGGGCACCTTTCGGAGGATGTGGTTTCCCATAACGAGTAGAACTAGAATTATTATAAGAGTTAATGTGTTCAGGCTATAAATCACCTAGAAATATGCTTGCATGCTTAGTTCACATCGTTTTCTTCCCAACGATAGGCGGCAGATTGTGTGGATTCAAAAGTAGTGCATCACGGATCGTGCAGATGATTGCATTGAATGGGTGGAGAAAATATAAAAATAAATGTCAATTCAATCCCCCCACTATCATTGGAGTTAAGGATAACACTTCATAACACAACCTGTAGGCAGTCAACAAAGTCGGTTGGTCAGAGAACATACTAGGCTCTTACAGAATAGAGGCGGTAACCGAAGACGAGAAGTATCCCACAAGTATACCGCTACACGCCATATGCAGATGTGATGTAAAAGAATCTGGAATCCTTCAAGTGTGTAAAAGGACTCGAAGAAGAAAGCTGGCAAGCACCATATTTTTGAGCTATGACTTTGGATTTGATTATATCAATAGAGTATACGGCAAATTTGCGAGTTGAGGAGGACTTGTAAGGAAACAGGAGAGATATTCTTCCTCACTTTCTACTTCATCTTCCCTAGCTCCCCCGAGTCCCTATTTCTTCCATTGTCATCCATTTTCCAAGTTCATAAACTTGTTCCGAATTTAATTCAGTAATTATTCATGAAATTAATCGGACTAATTGAAAAACTAAGGAAACTATTTCCGACCCTAAACTTTCCAGAAACAATGGAATATAAGAAACTCCCTACATATCCATGATATACCTTCTTGCTGCTCTTGTACCGTTGGTGCTGATCCTGATTGTCCAGACACGGACCACCTCCATCACCATAAAAGATCATGATCATGTCTTCCGTGAAGCTCATAAAAGAAATAATGCTCTGCTGGAGAAAGATGAAATGAAAGAGCGATGCGGTTGCTGTAGCATCTTAAAGCTGTGTGTCTACACCTTGCTGTAAATATCTAGGAGCGGTCGTATGAAATTAGCCTGGATGGATGCATTGTACTGATGGAAATTGATAGAATGAAAAGTAAAGAAATTGATAGAATGAAAAGTAAAGAAAAACTCACCAAGTAATAAACAGAAATTGCTGCACTGATTGAATAGAGTCCACTTCGAAGACCGTCTGATGATTACGTATCCAATGAGGTTGGCAAACCTTCTCATCTGGTCGTTGTCTTATAATTCATTCATTCATTATTCATGGACATCCCTTGCCACTCCGTCCTTTGGATTTATTTCTCAGGAATGGTAGTTTGACCTGTGAGTCAAAGGCTGGACCACCCTGCTCCCCTTCGTCTGATCTAAACATTGATTATCATTATTATTATGTCTGGAATCTATTAAGTTTTTCCTGGCTGGCTATGGACTGACTCTCGGGGGCATTGATTATCCTTGTGAGTGACATCATTATTTCCTTCCCCTCTGAAAGATTTTTCTGCAAAGCTGGAATCCTTTAAAATACATGGGGAAACTAAACCATACTGCTCTTCATGCCTTGAGCACAAATTTATACTCTCCATGTCTGTAAATGTTTAGTCTTCGTTTTTATTTCTAAGATAATTGCATTCCATTTACTTTTTTTGGGAGATTTACATCCCAGTTTTAGATGAAAATTAAAAGGTTTTGTTGTTCTCCAAGTGTACTGGGAAAAGGATTGAAGGTTGAATTCAAAGCATAGTATCTTACAACAACTGCACAAGGATTGTTCGGGGAAAGACATATCCTGAAAATTTATGTATGGATCAGGATGCTCCAGCACGCCGAAGTGCTAACAGCAGCGCAAGACTCATGAATCATGATGAAGAAGGCTTTGATTGACTCCAAGAAACTTTTGCCCTCTTTTTTGACACCAACGACGGAAACTCGATCCTCTCGGATTATGATTGAGGACAAATTCCAGTTTGCAAGCAATCCACAAATGTGAATCAACGATACCTTGGATTATCATGATACTCTCCATGTCCAATAAAGCCCACATCCAAGTTCCAACTGACTCATCGACAAATACTTCATTCTTTGGGACGGCCTCATCATTCTCAATTTGACAACCGTTTTTTGATTGAAAAAAATTAATATATACATATGGAAATAAATTTATTTGAGTCAAACGTGGTTATAGCAAGCTTTTATATCTTAAAGAAGAATGAACCATCAAGGTTAGTGCAGGGTTTAGATTTCAAAGGCTATATATATATCTTGTGACATGTGAGACTCTGTAATGAGATATGTTTAGAACTTTCTGTCTAAAATTTGGAGTGACATAACTGACTGCCTTGAAGTCCAATCAAAATGTTCGAGAAAAAAGATATTATCTTGGATAACAAGAAAGATTAGTCTCATAATAATGCTTGTTAAGAAGAATGATTTAATTGGCTTAAGAAAATCATTTAACAACTGAAAAAAAATTTGCATCAAATGTTCTTTCCAAATCTTTTAAGAGATTAGTGATATGTAAGATTAAAATAAGATCTTGAGCTTCTCCATTTAAGGCGCCATCGAGAACAATTTTGTATATATATAAGTAAGTTTTAACAAGTCACAATTCTAATCAAAAAAATGAAATTAAATAAGCACATTTATTTTATATTATTTTAATCAATAAATAATAATTTAAAACCATATGTAAATGTTTATTTTCTGAAATGTATTATTATCAATTTCTCTTATTCATCTATTGGTGATATTTTCAGAAATCATGAATATTTTTTATTGATCAAAATTTAAAAATTGATATCATATCATGAACTAAAATTTGGTTTGGTGATTTGGAATTTTTTTATAAATTAAAAAAAGAGTAAATGGTTTTAAAATTATCAATAAAAAACTGATTAAAAAAATAAAATCCTTATTTATCTCTATAATAACCAATATATAGTAAAACTATATTATTGAGTTATAGTTTTTGATAATTATAATACTGCACTTTGATAAAAAGTTTGGATATTTTTTTGATCATTAAATTTTTGAAAATAATATATACATTTCATGAAATAATAAAAATATATTTTTTTTCAAATTTAATCTAAACGATTCTTAGAAAAAATTGCATAGAGTAGTAATAATAATACTGTTGTATAATTGTTTGAAAGATTTTCTCATCTATTGCTTTGCAATTTATGATAGATAATTTTGAACTTAAAAAATATTTATATTTGAAGATATAAAAAAAACTTCCTTAAATTTTTTTAAAAGTTGAATATTTTATATTTTGAAGAAATCAAATATTAATCATGAGGATTTTATAATGTAAGTATTATAGTCATTTATCAATAATGAATATATGATCTGAAAATAGAATTCAGATATCTAAGACATTTTTTGAAACTATATTACAGTGATTTAAATTCATTCGACATATCGGTTCGTGTATTTGATATAATTATAATTAGTTTACATCTTATAGATGAAATAAAAAA